GCGTAGCATTATAAAAAGGGCTGGTAATTAAAGAACTAGTATGAAGCAGAAGAAGGATGATTGGGGGAGAGGCTTAATAAACAGAGAAGTTAACATGGATCGATGACAAGGGAACTGGTCGCAGAGTGTCAGTGCAGGGGAGATGAGGTAACAAAGAAATTGCAGGGATAGTTTGAACGTAATGGGTCAAGTAGGGGCAGAATAGGAAATAAAAGAAATTTACAGTATAAAGAAGAAATGTTGCCCATATGCCTATAGAGTTTTGACGGTAAGGGGAGGAAAATGTAGTAACTGCAAGGAAAAGGGTATTTAAAGATGGCAGGACTATTTTTTTTTTTCAGCATGAGCAAACATTGCTCAAAGAGCAATTACCTCCTACAGCATTACAGTGAAGTAGGTTTTGAATTCAAAATGGAATGATGGGGTCTGCAGAGGGGACGATGGAAATCTATTGAGTTAAGTTCATGGGTATAAATGGAGATTCAGATGAGTTCTTCATGTCATCCCTGGCTTTCATAGCACTTATTGATCTTCAGTAATTAATTCCCTTCTAAAGTTGCTTATCTTGTACTGCCAACTTCTGAGTACATCGCAAAAGCCCTGGCTTACACACTGAATAGTGGCAACAGCATCCATTTGGACTGAATTATTTCCTACTTCCACGAAGACTCCACTGCACCCCAGTAGTAATTGTCACCATATAATGATAGAAAAAAATATTTTTCAAAGTCTTTAGAATAAGAGCCTTTAAATATTTTTTCTCTCTTGCCTTTTGTTTTTGTTTTTGTTTTCTCTCTCTCTCCCTCCCTCCCTCCCTCTCTGTCCCTCACTAACACACAATCACACCCAGATGCCACAACCTATGACTCAGAGGCCACATGCCACAGCATTGAATAGAGATCTTAATACGTGGTGTTGTGTATTGGAAATCCATATATATCCCCCTTTTATAGGGAGAATTGGCCTAATGTTTTTGATCATTAACTTCTTATTCTGCTAATTGTGTAAAAATTTGAAAGTTATTTTTAATGGCATCATCTCATGAAATGCTAAGTGGTCAGTTCAGTATCTGTGTATTACATACAGAGATGAGGCAAAATACTCTGTCTATTTAAATATCATATTCTAGTGTGTATACAATTTGAAAGTCTGGATTTTAGTATCCGTAATTCAGCCTGATTTTAATGTTTCACAAAAACTATAGTTTTTAAGATTTGTTATTTGTCTTCATGAATGTTGCCTTCATATAAATAATCTCTGCAGACATAATCTAAAACAGAATCTTGCAAATATCAAATGTATTTAATCTTATTGAAGAATAGTTATCTTAGGCATCGAAAACTTATTTCTAATACAGTATTCATTGCTACTGTTGTTTTGTAATTGGCAAGTGTTTTTTAAAATGTCTTCTACTGTATATTTACAAAATACATGTTACATTAAGTATAATGTAATTATCCCCATCTTCATCTATGGAATATGGCTTCTAAGGATAAACTTTCTATAGTTTCCCAGCATTTATCCTGGAAATTATTTAGGGCAAGATTATTATTGGCTATGTTACCATTTTTTCTTTCCAACCTTTTAAGCGGAGTGGCTCTTTCAGAATTTCCTAATTACACAAGTAACTTTTTCCCAGTAGCATCATTTGGCACCTTAGGACTAATCCCCAATCTTTTAGGCAATTCTGAAATAAATATCTGTGGATCGCTGCAGAAGTATCAACACTGACAATTTGAGGCAACACAGATCTAGGTTCCTTGGCTCACAGCAGTCCTTTTATTAAGAATTTGGGTAGTGAAAAAACTTTAGGCTCACTAGTTCTTTTATGTACGCCATAGGGAATTGTAGTAGGAGACATTAATTATTTTCTTTAGAAGGCAGTTTAATCCAGGCATCAAAATGAAATGAGTAAACTTTTCAACACCTCAGTGCTGTTAGTGAAGAGGCTTTTTAGCATTATTTTATGTTACTTAACCAGTCTTACCAACATGTTCATATGCTGAGGCCAATTTGTAAAAAAAAAGTTACTGGTAGAAATGCATTGCCACATATCTCTGGTTATTTCCCAGTAATGTTTCAAAATCATAGTTTCTAAATAGCTATTTGTAATTCATCTGTCTGCAACGTGACCACAATGCAGAAGACAGTCAGTTACTGGTTGCAATTACAGCTGTAGAAGCATACTTTTTCCAGTTTTCCAGCTGTAGAACCATACTGAGGACAAGGGAGTCTACTTAGAATATGTAGCACTGTATTATTCTATACTTTCAGATTCAAATACACATTGATGTGGCAGCTAAATAGTGAGGTTTGGACTCTGCTACCAGATGCTTATTGCCATACCTTAAGAGTCGCCATGGGCGAATAGGCGGCAATATAAATAAAATAAAATAAATATCTTATACATGCATTCAGAAGTGCATCTCCCTCTACAGAGATGCTGCTAGGCAATTTTCAAGGATCGAAGGGGATTGTAGATTGCAGAAGCCGAATGATTCCTGTATGACGAATCAGTTAATTGTAGAAGTTAATACATCATTTGTCAGAAGGCTAAGATGATAATGTTAGTAAATCATGAGAAGCTTGTGTAGAGTTGGGGAATAATAGCCTATTGTCAAAACAAGTGGAAAGACAAGGAATTCATGAGCCTTTTTGAGAAGAAATGCTGATTCCCCCCCACCCCACCCCCGCCCAAAGAATGCAATTGACTTTGGAATTGGAGAAATAGATGAAGTGCTGAAAAAGGCATTTTTGTCAGAAATGTAAATAATTGTATAGCAATGGCTTTCTAGCTTGTGTAATTCTTCCTTTTCCCCCCCAATTCCTGCTTCCAAAAGAAGTTGAAAGAAGATAGATATGAGGGGCGGGGGGGGGGGGGGACAGACAGACAGACAGGATTACAAATGTTAATTAAGCATCAGTAACCTTTAAAAAATTTTTTATGGTGCCATACTTGTCACTTCTGAGAGTTTTCAGTGAGCTCTCAGCTTGAAACTATACATCATAGTCATTGAAATCTTGTTGGGAAATATAAGTAGTCTGAAATAGATTTTATTGATCTTAACAGTTGTTTGTGATAGGCCTAAATCCAACAGATAGTTCCATTTAAAATGTTTTGTTCATATTATTGAATTACTAATATCTTATCATTGAGAGCCACTTTGTATAATGTTTGGGTGAATGTGCATCACATTTTTTAAAGTCACACAATAAAAAATAATGAAAGCTTTGCCTCTGAAGTACAGCTGAGCTAGCTGAACTGGCGGATCTAACATTAATTTTTTATTAGATATTTTTATATGTCATTCTGCCTCCCCCTAGAGGGATGTTTTATATTCTTCTCCATTGTGGATATTTTTTATCTTTCAGAAATGTTTCATAAAATAATTTTGTGTGAATGATACATACCAGAATCTATCCATAGAGTATCTATTGAACACTTGAATTTCTCTGTTGAATTGTTGGCAGGAGCTTAAAAAATGTACTTTATTCATTAAACTACTTCAGATTTTCTGGTTCTTTTGCTACTGTAGTTATTAAAAAAATAACTCTTAGAACCTTATTGAGCAATGGATGTGTGCATACTTCAATAGACCAAAAAGATAACTTTGTACCTAACAAAAGTTCCAAATTTGATGCAGAAAATTATTTTTGTACAGATATGAGATTATCTTTTTAATATTGTATCTTATTAATTACAGACATACATAATATTGGAACATACTCTTCTTGATGTTGCTGTTCCTGCATTTATAAAACGCTGGCAATATTTTTTAATATTTGTGACTTGCATTAACTCTTTGATTTTTTTAATATCTAAAAATATACTTCCATGTAAATATTTGTAAAGGAATTTCCTTCTTGACCCAGAGAAAATGGATAATTTCTTTCCCAAACTTCATAAAAAGGAAGAAGAGGCATTATTATAGGAACATTGGAAGCTGCCTTAAAGTAGGGCACAGTATTTATCTTTCTCACATAGTCTTAAAGTAGAAAAGGGTCTTTTTTTCATTGTGTGTAACTTCGTGTTATTGGAAATGCCAATCATTAAACCTACAGTCTAAACCAAGCACCTACCATCTCTTCTCTGTAAAATGCCTAGGTGTTAAATCTGAGGGCTCTCAGTAGTTACTCCCAATTTTTGCCATCTTCAGCAGCTGCCTAAATTCTTGAGAACTCCTACAATTTGGAAATCCCCTTGTAGGGGTGACAAGCTTTTGCTTTCTTGCTTTCAACGTTAAGGCATTATGGAGCAATATATGGTTTTGTGGCTTGGGAGTATTTTTCTGGGATAAAGCCTGATCCTGAGCAAAAGGCTAGAAGGTACAATTACAGTATTTTCTGATTTAAAACATAGAGCTTTGGCAACTGTCGCTTTCTTTCATAATTGTTCAAAAAACAGACCATCATCTTTGAAAGCACTGCTTGAAGGAATGAGAATTCCTTGGGAGTAGTTTTAAGTGAAGTTGTTGATAAGAATGTGGTATAAGTTTTCCATACTATTTCAGCCAGTTCAAGTTTCTTAGTATGCAAAGTATGCAACCACAACTTTGGTTGTATTTCAACTAGAATATCACAGTGTTCCAAAAAATAATTTTCTAATGTTCAAGTGATCTTTGCAGGAAGCACACTGAAGTATATATACTGTACATTAGTATAATAGAAAGGAGTAGATAATAGCATCTTCATAATTAGGTATAGAATGTTTTCTGATTTTTTGTTTGTTTTTAGTTTTATTATAATAATACACACAAATGAACAAATGAACCTAATTTTGTTATATTATAGGGTTTGATATATTTATTTAAGTAACACACAGTTATTGTTAATGGAGATATACAACATGTATTCTGCAAGGAGTTGTATGTGGATTTGTAATTCAGAAACTTTCATTTAAAAAATGAAATTTCTTCTTTAAAAAAATATTTGACAATATTAATGTCTTTAATTTCATCGATTAACAGATAACATGACACTGACATTTCTCTTCTTTTTAGGATCCCAGAAGCAAGCATAAATTCAAAATCCACACGTATGGGAGCCCAACATTTTGTGACCATTGTGGTTCATTACTTTATGGACTACTGCACCAAGGGATGAAATGTGACAGTAAGATATTTATTTCATGTAGTGTTAAGAGATTTTTTTATTTAAAAAATCAATGAAGCCATTAGAGCTGTGCCTAACTACTTTCCAGTAAAATTTATTGTAGTTCCTGTTAATTACAAATGCAGCAGTCCATTTGAAATGAATATTTCAGCACATCTAGCAAAAGACTGTAAATGAGGAGAGCTTTTTCTCATGTTGATTTTTCAGTAGCCATATATTAATGGAAACTTACTGGAAGAAAGAAGCATTATATTCAATCAGCAGTTGACCTGCAATATTATAATAAAAGCCCAAGCATTAAAAAAATTAAGGGCAGTTTGTGGCTTCATAATAAATGCTTCATAGTGCTTGTTCACTATCCTTTTGGGGTTTTTGGTTGATTCACCCTTGTAAATTGCCACCACTAGAACCCACTTTGTTCTGGGGAATTGACTTTCCCATAAATAAAGCATTAGGGCCATTTCCAAAAACTGTGTGATATTTTGGCTATTTCCATATGATTTCCACTGGAGCAACCCAGTGGAACTGGCAACAAAAGCTGCGCACCCAAGTATCATACAATAATAGACCCATGAGTGAGTTCTTTTGCTATGTCATTCCCAGAAGGGAATTAGCTGAAGTATGGAAAACTAGAAGAATGTAGATGAGCATTAATACCCAATGCTGTGAAAGCCAGGACTCTCACACCGGGGTGTCTGAGCTTACTGATCCCATTACAATTTTATCAAAAGGCTCTTTTTTTAAAAAAAAAAAAGTCAAAATTAATTTATGCTGCTTCAAGTAGAAGGAGAGAATTTGAAACAATAGAGTGGGGACAGTGCCTCACAAACAATTTCACAGCAGAACCTAAGGCAGTTTGTCAAATTCTAAGTATAAGGTAACCTGCTACTAGGACCGCAACGGTAGCTGCAACAAAGAGATGAATAAAAACAGCTGTTGTCAGAAAGTACACAAACTGCTGTTTCTCCTCATGTGGTTTGAATAGAACTCCTCTTCAATAGCTGTAAAAATAGCAAGCTGTCACCTATGACTAATTAAATGGCTTGGAAGCTATTTTGGGGGTTCCTTAGAAACCTGCTCCTGTGGAGTCCTTGGTGCTCTCTGAGCTTGGTTGTTTGCTTGCAGATATTTCATTACCCAGCTAGTGCAAGCAAATATAGGCTTTGCTTTCTGTTTGTATACAGTAACCGGCCCTGCCAGTGTCGATGTGGGTGTGGTTTTCTCCCTGACGGTTCCTTGATTGGGTATTGTTAATATTCCATCACTTCCACACTGCAGTCCACTCCACACTACAATTCCCCACTACATTGCAAATATACACTGCTCAGAAAATAAAGGGAACCCAAAAATAAGACATCCTAGATCTGAATGAATGAAATATTCTTATTAAATACTTGGTTCATTACGTAGTTGAATGTGCTGACAACAAAATCACACAAAAAATATCAATGGAAATCAAATTTAGTAAACCATGGAGGTCTGGATTTGGAGTTACACTCAAAATTAAAGTGGAAAAAAACACTACAGGTGATCCAACTTTGATGTAATGTCCTTAAAACAAGTCAAAATGAGGCTCAGTAGTGTGTGTGGCCTCCACGTGCCTGTATGACCTCCCTACAATGCCTGGGCATGCTCCTGATGAGGTGGCAGATGGTCTCCTGATGGATCTCCTCCCACACCTGGACTAAAGCATCCCCCAACTCCTGGACGGTCTGTGGTGCAACGTGGCGTTGGTGGATGGAATGAGACATGATGTCCCAGATGCGCTCAATTGGATTCAGGTCTGGGGAACGGGCGGGCCAGTCCATAGCTTCAATGCCTTCGTCTTGCAGGAACTGCTGACAGACTCCAGCCACATGAGGTCTAGCATTGTCGTGCATTAGGAGGAACCCAGGGCCAACCGCACCAGCATATGGTCTCACAAGGGGTCTGAGGATCTCATCTCGGTACCTAATGGAAGTCAGGCTACCTCTGGCGAGCACATGGAGGGCTGTGCGGCCCCCTAAAGAAATGCCACCCCACACCATTACTGACCCACTGCCAAACCGGTCATGCTGGAGGATGTTGCAGGCAGCAGAACATTCTCCACGGCGTCTCCAGACCCTGTCATGTCTGTCACATGTGCTCAGTGTGAACCTGCTTTCATCTGTGAAGAGCACAGGGCGCCAGTGGCGAATTTGCCAATCTTGATGTTCTCTGGCAAATGCCAAACGTCCTGCACAGTGTTGGGCTGTAAGCACAACCCCCACCTGTGGACGTCGGGCCCTCATACCACCCTCATGGAGTCTGTTTCTGACCGTTTGAGCAGCCACATGCACATTTGTGGCCCGCTGGAGGTCATTTTGCAGGGCTCTGGCAGTGCTCCTCCTTGCACAAAGGTGGAGGTAGCGGTCCTGATGCTGGTTTGTTGCCCTCCTACGGCCTCCTCCATGTTTCCTGATGTACTGGCCTGTCTCCTGGTAGCGCCTCCATGCTCTGGACACTACACTGACAGACACAGCAAACCTTCTTGCCACAGCTCGCATTGATGTGCCATCCTGGATGAGCTGCACTACCTGAGCCACTTGTGTGGGTTGTAGACTCCGTCTCATGCTACCACTAGAGTGAAAGCACCGCCAGCATTCAAAAGTGACCAAACCGTCAGCCAGAAAGCATAGGAACTGAGAAGTGGTCTGTGGTCACCACCTGCAGAACCACTCCTTTATTGGGGATGTCTTGCTAACTGCCTATGCTTTCCACCTGTTGTCTATTCCATTTGCACAACAGCATGTGAAATTGATTGTCAATCAGTGTTGCTACCTAAGTGGACAGTTTGATTTCACAGAAGTGTGATTGACTTGGAGTTACATTGTGTTGTTTAAGTGTTCCCTTTATTTTTTTGAGCAGTGTATTATCAATTCTCTACTATAGTACTTCCAGAAAATCAAAGACCTAAAAATAGAAGAATCCATCGCAGCAGTACTACACAACTCAGTTGACCTAGCTAAAATACCTAGAATCATGGATCCATCAACCTCTGCCTCACTACCAACATGCAGTTTGATTGACAGATATATGAACAAATCAGAAGAACATCCATAGGATCACCACTCTTAGGACTTATAGAAGAGATTGTAATGCAGCAGTATGTGGAAACACACAGCACTCCCACACAAACAGCCAAAAATATGGATCTGATATGCAAATGACACTTTTGTCATAATAAAAAAGAAACACAAGAAACAATCAACAACATCTTCCAAGGAATAAAATTCAACAGAGAAGAAGAAAGCAACATGATGCTTTTCTTTCTGGATATCTTCATCAACAGAGGAAACAACTGCAAGATATTAGAAACACAAGTTGAAAAACAACCCACACTAAACAAGTCTCTCAACAAGAGGAGCTGTGTAAAAGAACAGTATTCAAATGAGCACAAACTGCAGCAACCCAGAAAAAGGAAATGGATCACCTATACAACATCTTCCAATAAAATGGATACCCATGTAACTATCAAAAAGTGTCCGACTGTTCAACCCACAACAACACTACCCAAACAAGATATAAAAAGGATAACACTGACCATACACACAAAAAAAATCTCAGAAAAAACCAACAGAATATTACAACCACATGACATCACTGGAGCATACAAACCAATTAAAGCCATCAAAAACATCTTAAGTAAACCAAAAGACCCAGTAGCCTAAGAAGAAAAAAACATAGTCATTTACAACATAGAGTGTAAAGAAGATAGGACAAAAAGGTAGAAGTTTAGCAGAATGCATCTATGGACACCAACTAGCAGTCAAAAGGCATGTTGAAAACTCCATCTCACAACAGATGGACAGACCGAGCCACTGTTTCAACTGGGAAATTATGAGCATGCTAAACCAAGTCAAATCCATAAACGCTAGGGAATTCCTGGAAACTTGGCATAAATCAGCCATAAATAGATGCATAGAAATAAACCATATTTACACACCATTCAAAAGAGATAACAAAAAGTTACAATGAAACAGAAAAGAATAGAAGTGCCCAATATCCAGATAAGCAAGGATTAACAGCAGGCAAACAATCAAGCAGAAAACAATACCCCAATCAAGAAACTACCAAAGAGAAAACTACACTCCCACCAGTGGTGGGATTCAATTTTTTTTACTACCGGTTCTGTGGGCGTGGCAGGGTAAGGATACTGTAAAATCTCCAGTCAGAGGTGGTATTTGCCGGTTCCCCAAACTACTCAAAATTTCCACTACTGGTTCTCCAGAACCGGTCAGAACCTTCTGAATACCACCTCTGACTCCCACCAATTCTGGCAGGGCAAGGAATTGTATATAAACAGGGAGTAAAAACCATGCTCTAGCACTGATGTTATTTAGTTAGATAATGAAACATCTGCAAGCAAACAACCAAGCTCAGACAGCACCAAGAACTCTACAGTTCAACCTGGAGTTACATATAATCTCTTCTGTTCAAACTCAAAACTAGTAGTAAGAAATTGTTTGAATCATTTAAGGTAGAAAAGAAATGAAAATATTTTAATTTATTTCATCCAGCAAAGCTACCTCTTTCTATCTGGATTTTTTTAAAAACAATACAATATGATGCTACAGTTCAGGCTACCTTTCTTCTTGAATGTTTGCATGTTGTGGAGAACCCTATATTAAAAGGGATTAACGTCCATTGTTGCTTGGTCTACAGTTTGCGGCAGGATTGAGGTGTTTTTTTTTAGTTTGCTTAGTATTGCATCTACATTCTGTCTTCCCTCTTAAGAACAAAAGGTACATCCATGGTAGCCCTCCCTTATTCTGTCACCAGAGCATCAAGCCTAAGAAACTGGTTGAGCTAAGAGTGAATGGGTTGAAAGTCAGTGAGCTTCATTGCTGAGAGGGGAGTAGAACTTGGATTTCTGTGGTTGAAGCCCAGCATTTTAATCACTGTGTTACACTGACTTTCACTTGTTCAACTCCCCACATTCCCATGGCTCAGTGATTGGCTTTGAAAAATCAGGCGTTCTTAAGCTTCATTTCTTATGAAAGAAAGACAAAGAACTCTTTCAGTTTTTCTGCCTTTCAACATATGTTGCTGTTTTCCACTCTTAGATATGAGAATCTTGCATAACTAGGTTTACCTCTAGAATTAAAACTGTGTCTATAATTTCTGAAGGGATTCTAATGTCAAGGTATAAAGATACATTTTTCCATAATATGGAAGAGCTAAAAATTAGGTGTCTCAATTCTTACAACATTTTGATTCAGATGTTTTATTGTCAAATAAAGCATATGTCAAGACTTTGATTAAAAATAGTTATGGTCATTTATTTCCCCAATCAGATTTTTAAAAAATCAATCCAGAAAACATTTTCGTGTTTCCTAGGAAATAGCTAAAACATATAATTCTTTTGCTGATATAGAGCAGCTTTCCTGATGAGGCATAATCTAGATTTTATTACTGGAACAACTATGTATGCATTAATGGATGCTCAAAAACAAAAGCATTGAAATAGTCATCGATAGTTGTACAATGTGTTTTAAAAAACTGGAATTTAATGATTGGCCAGTGGTCAATTCCGAAAAAGAGATCTTATCTTATTGAGTATGTTTTTATTTTCATTTTGCTTTCTATAAAATGTTTCCCCACATTTTCCTCCTTATTTTCAACTAAATGCCACCCATATAGTTTTTTAATGTCTAAACTGGCATCACTAACATTTGTCTCAAAACATTTGGTATGTCGGGGAATCATTGACTCTGGCCATATTTGTCGCTGTATGATTTGTGTAAAAGCAGTTTGCAAGACTGCAGCAGAAATGGCTGTAATTTAACTCAAAATCATTTTCCTCAAGATTTGTTTTTGTCTTATTTTGTTCTGACCTGTGACGGAGAAGATACTTGCTTTCATTCATGAGAAGATACTGCAAACACACTTCTTACCTTATGTACTGAATGTGGAAAGAATTTTATTTTTTTTGAGCGGACTATAAATTGACAGGTTTTCCTTAATAGCCCAAAGGAAAGATCAATGCCTTCCCAGGCAATGTGAAACTGGTAGTGCCAATTAGTTATGTCTGTCCTTTTCACTCCTTAGGATGTTAAATTATTTATTTTCTGGCTTTCAGCTTGTGATATGAATGTTCACAAACAATGTGTAATAAATGTTCCAAGTCTTTGTGGAATGGATCACACAGAAAAAAGAGGGAGGATTTATTTGAAAGTTGAAGTGACTGGTGACAAGCTGGAAGTCACAGGTAAGGAAAGCTTCTTAGATGTAATGTATCTCACTTAAGGATGCTTTTATTCATTTACAGTATATTGAATAGCTTTAAGGCAATAAGCATTAAAAATGCCTTATGTAGTATATTCAGTAAAACTTCAGCTCCTGGCTGGAACAAAGGATTATGAATTCCTTTGAACTGAAGGATGTAACAGGCTTCTTACTATCCATATAAGAACGCATCCAGCATCCATGGCTGGAAAGTGACGATGGAAAATGACACAGTGTGCCCATATTCTGCTTTGGGGCTTCCATCAAGGAACAGAATGTCCTTTTAGCCTAATTCAGCATGGTGTTTCTTGGTAATGCAATCATACTAAGGAAAAAAATCTCTTGAAATAATAATTGATTACAAACTGAATAGAAGTCAGCAGTGTGATGTAGCTGCAAAATAGGCAAATGCCTGTGGAGGTGGTTAGATTAGGAGAAGATCCCACTTCCATCTTGTTTACACACTGATTCCTTTTTGTCTAGTTCTTGGTCAATTTTAATGTTTTAATTCTTAATGTTTAATGCTTTTGATGTTCTTATTCTTTTTTTTATCACACTTTGATATTGTTATAAGCTGCCCAAAGTCATTTGACAGTGAGATGGGCGGCATATCAATTAAAGAAATAAGTAAATAAACATATTCAGAGAATGGCATTGTGGATGATCAGGCAACTAGACCCTAAATCTTAAGAGGCAAATGTGAAGGAAGTTGGTATTTTAGCTTTGGGGTGTGTGATAACTTACTTCAAGTGTCAAATATCATAGAAAGATACATCAAAATCACTCTTTTATTTTTTCAGGGTGCAGAAAATAAACACTGTATTTAGGTTGTGTTAAAATTGAAGGCTAGGACTTCCGGTGGCAAGGCAAGGACGAACAGAGGTGCAGAAGCCCGTCTGTGGTTTCAGTTAATCTCTTTTTGCGGTTGGCGCGATCCTTTGAGGGTGCACGAGTCCCGGACAAATTCGTGCCGGCGTGGGGGAGACTCGGGTTGCAGTGTGGGGGAGCCCTCCAGAGCCCAACGAGCAAGAAACAGCCTCCTATCAATGGTGGCTCCGAAGTCCGGACTGCCACCGATGTAAAGAAGTGAGTGAGTGACAGTTTGTGAGATCATTGGGGAAGAGTGTGGCAGAGAAAATTAGCGAGGAGGATTGGAATGCCATAGACTTTTATAAGGCTGTTACAAGTGTCTGTCGGGAGCCCTAAAAGAAAGCGGCCAAAAAGCGGATGCAAGGAAAATGAAAGTGAAAGGGCTTGGCAGACAGAAGAGAGAGAGAGGACAATAACGAGTAAAAAGGGAAGTTTGGGAGACTAGCGGCTGGAAGGTGCCTGGAAGTTGTGGAGGATTTGGACTATCTCATTTGATTTTTATTCTGAAAGACTTTATTAAAGTGGAGAATGGAAGAAGATTGGAGCTGACGGAACAGAGACAGTGTGGCGCCACAGGTGATATTTAGAAACCCTGAAGCCATCGTAACAATATAACTGATATAAACCACTTAACAGCCCTTTAGGGAGCATACTGATCTAATGGAGGAGGTGGTTCCATCTGAAGAAAATCAGGAAAATTGAACTTAGGAACGCTAAGACAAAAAGTAAAAGTGGAAGCTTCCGAATGTGTGGAGATACCATGTAATTGCAGTCACTACTCAGCATTTTTTACCTCCCCACTTCCGGTGCGTTTGGAGTGAAAGCTCTCAAACTTAGAGACGGAAAGCTAAAAACTTACTTCAAAATTCCTTTCCCCCCCTTTTTTACTCCCTTTTTTCTGTATACATTTGCTCAATTTTTTCCCCTTCTTTTTCCCTCATCATCTGGCGCTACGATGAACTATCTCTCCTACTCATCTACGTCAGGAGAGAGAAGAAAGTAGGACACATCTTCAGGCACAAGGAGAGACCGGAGCCATTACAAGACAAAGAGTGAAACAGAATTAATTAAATGGAAGAAGAAAAGAAACTACTATCAATTAATATAAATGGTTTAAACTCGAAGATAAAAAGGAAAAGGATAATAGCTAAACTAATCAAACAAAATGCTGATATAATATGCCTACAAGAAACTCATATAAAGAAAACAGATGAAAAATACCTAGAATGTCCGAAATTACGGAAGCTATTTACTGCACCAGCAGACATGGGGGAAAAGAAAGGGATTGCAGTATATGTTAAAGAGGATTTGAAAGCAGATTTAATATGGTCGGATTCTGAGGGAAGAACTCTGGTTTTGCAGATCTGGATTAATGCCATCCCAATTCTCTTAGTGGTAATCTACGCCCCGAACGGAGATCAAAAAGAGTTTTTTAAGCATCTTTATGGAAAAATAGTAGGATTGGAAAAAAGAAATATTTGTATCATCGGAGACTTTAATTCTATTGCTGATTATCAAAAACATCACAGTAATGGGGGGAAGAACAAAGGGGAGAAAAGAGCTTCCCAAGATATGTATGGAAATGATGAAGGAGTTAAATTTGATTGATATATGGAGAAGATCACATCCCGAGAAAAAACAATTTACATTCTATTCAAATCCTCATCAAATATGGACACGAATTGATATGGCATGGATGAATGGGGAAATAGCAAATAAGATAAAAGGGATTGAAATTTTACCTAATGAATGGGCAGATCACAATCCAATTCAGATAATATGGAAGGGTAGGGGAAAACCCAAGAAAAGATGGACGTTAAATACTCAGTTAATAAGAGAAAAAGAATACACCAACAAACTCAAAGAGGAATTAAATTATTTCTTAAAGGAAAATGATAATGGAGCAACTACGAAACAAAACATTTGGGATACAATGAAGGCAGTATAAAGAGGTATAACAATCTCTTATAACGCCAAGAGGAATAAGGAAAAATACACCCAGCAAAACAAATTACAACAAAAAATTAAGGAATTAGAAACTCAATTACAGAGTACTCCAAAGGATTCAAAATTGCAAAATCAGATAATAATAACTCAACATAAACTGAATTTAATTGAACAAGAGAGAATGATTATAAATTTGAATACAACTAGACAAACTTATTTTGAGCATGCTAATAAGCCAGGGAGATGGCTATCATATAGACTAAAAAAAGGAAAGAAAAGAGATTGATTTACCAGCTAATAGATGGAAAGGGGGATATACAACAGGAGATAGAACAGAAAAAAGAAATTGCCCATAAGTATTTTGAAGAGTTATATAAAAAGGAAGAAGTTAACGAAGATAGAATAAGAAACTATTTAGATGAAGTGGAGGATAAAGCAATTGGGGAAGAAATGGAAAAATTATTAAACAAAGATATTACTTGGTTTGAATTGAAATCAGCAATAGAGAACCATAAAAACAATAAATCCCCGGGACCAGATGGGATTCCAGGGGAGCTGTACAAGGCAATAGCAGAACAAATAGGACCTCTTATGGTGGAAGTTTTTAATGACGTCTTATTGGCAGCCACTCATGGAGGGGAGCATTGATTTTGCTGATCCTGAAGGAGGATTCGGGTCCCCGATATATACATAATTATAGGCCGATTTCACTGTTAAATACTGATTACAAAATATTCACTTCTATTATAGCAAGTAGACTAAAAAGATTGTTAAATGAGCATATATATGAAGATCAAAATGGATTTCTCCCGACCAGACAAATCAGGAACAACTTAAGAATAGTACTAGATGTCTTAGAATTTTACGAAGCCCACCCCAAAAAACAAATTGCACTTATGTTTTTAGATGCAGAGAAGGCCTTCGATAATTTAAATTGGCAATTTTTAATCTAAAAAATTTATAATATGAATTTAGGCACCAAATTTGAAAATATTATAACAACCATTTATGATACACAACAGGCTAATATTATAATAAACGGGGAATATACCCGCCCAATAAAAATAGAAAAAGGAGTCAGACAGGGCTGCCCACTCTCACCCCTGCTCTTCATATTATCATTAGAAGCATTACTAATGCTAATTAGACAGAACCCAGACATAAAAGGATTAAAGGTTAAGAAAGAAGAATATAAGTTGCAAGCGTTTGCGGATGATATGATTTTTTTCATTGAGGAACCAATAGAAAGAGGACAAAAATTGATGAATGAATTAGAACAATTTGGAGCAGTAGCAGGACTTAAAATTAATAGGAAGAAAACAAAATTAATGACTAAAAATTTAACAAAAAAACAAAATAGAACTAGAAGAAGTTATGGGAATACAAGTGATAAAGAAAGTTAAATACTTAGGAATATGGTTGACAGCACATTGTAAGACAATTAAGGAAAATAATTATCACAAATTGATGCAACAGGTAAAGAAGGATTTAGAAACATGGGGCAAGCTGCAACTTTCATTATTAGGCAGGATTGCTGCTATTAAAATGAATATTCTTCCAAAATTCCTATATATATTTCAGACGATCCCAATCAAAGTACACAAAATTTTTTTTTGAAGAACTTAATAAAATAACTGTAAAATTTATCTGGCAAGGGAAAAAACCTAGAATAAATTTAAAGGCAATGCAGGATATGAAGAGCAAGGGAGGGCTGGCACTTCCAAATTGGGAGTTGTATTATAGTGCTGCCTCTTTGGTATGGTTGAAGGAATGGGTGAATTTAACCAATAAGAGAATATTATTCTTAGAAGGCCATGACTTGCAAAGGGGGTGGCATGTTTTTTTATGGGATGTGGGGAAAACTAGCCAGAAATATTTTCACAGACACCTAATCAGAGACTCATTATTAACTAATTGGAAGAAAATATGGAAAAAACACTATTTAAAAATACCAATTTGGATTTCAACAATGGAGGCAATGATTCACCCAAATAATCTGGATATCACTAAAATGATTAAATATAAGGATCTATTGGATACACAAGGAAATTTGAAATCGCGGCAAGAACTTCAAGAGCGGGGACTAAAAATTGATCAGTGGGCATATCTATAAATTCAAAGTAGATATAAACAGGACAAGAAAGAATTTGGAATTAACAATAAACT